CCCCCCCCCCCCTTCCAACTGGGGTTAATTTCCTGCCCTTTTCCACCAAAAAATTCGGTCAGAGCCCCCTCCCCTCCTGCACAACAGGAATTTTGACATTAGCCAGATGGATGCCGATTTCAATCAATGGGCTCGCCCATACCGGAGTGGTTCGACTCCACGCAAACCCGGAGCGGTGAGGGGCTGGTCGTGCGGTGTTCTCAGGCCCAGTGAGGTAGTGCATCTGGCCACTCCGGATCCTGCTGAACAAGTTCCTCTTGTAGCTCGATCGGTCACACCGCCATCGCCGTCGGGGAGATGGGGACGACACTGCCTCGGCAGCGTGCACCTCGATCCTGTACCGTGTTTGTTATGACCCCCCCCAATGAACACACCAGTGAGGGAGGGCGAGACGATCGAGGGGTCCCGTACCATGCGGAATCGGCCCTATCAAGTGCTCAAGTGCTCAAGAGGCGGACGCCCAAGGGTGGGCGATGGCTAGCGCATCACACCCCTCTCCTTAAAATCCCTGTGTGGTGGCGGCGTGCCGTCCTCCCATCCCTCCCTTGGGTTGTCCGTTTTATTTCTTTCTTTCTTTCACCTCCCATCCCTCCCTTGGGTTGTCCGTTTTCTTTTTTCTTTTTCCCCCTTGTAGTGGCGGCGTGCCGTCCTCCCATCCCTCCCTTGGCTTGCCTGTCTGTTTTCTTTCTTTCTTTCCTTTTTCCCCTTGCGGGGTGCGCACTGCGCGCCGCGAGGATGAGGAGCCTGAGCCAGGGGAGGCGGGAGGGTTGGGAAGGAAGGAGTATGTCGGCCTCTTCGACGGCCAATAAGGGGCCGTCGTCTGCTGAGCCTTTTGAGAGTTTTGCCTTTGTGGTGCTAGTCCGTGCCAGTCAGTCTGCTGTGAGAGGGGCTTGTATTATTTTTAATACAATTCTTAATAGCGCGACGGAGTCCTCAGCACCTCCCCTATGTAAGAAAAGATCCCCGCTCGGTCTCTTTTCTTGTTTATCCATTTAGCATAATAGA